TTGACTTGCTTAGGGTACTCATGAGCATACTCATACTCTGAGTCCGAATCAGACTGATTGTTTTCAGATCCATAGTCTCTCTTTGGCTGTCTTTAAGTCATTTGTCATAACGGTTCTTTCAGGAAGCACTGAACGCCCTCTGTCCAGAGAAGCTGATGACCAGATCCTTTCCCTGATGCGTCTGTGAAAGGTGCCAACAGACATTGAAAACGTGCTTTTCAGCGGCCCCCCATGGTGCACGTCCTCAGCGTTGGTGCACGGTCCACTCTGCAGTTCTGAAATATGTTTGTAGTTGTACTATTTCAAAATAAAAAAAAATACATACACCTCTTTCAATGTGCTTTGTTTTATAGTAGGAAAACAAATACAGTCTGTAACGAGTCTAAGAAACTTTATTATGTAAAAGAAGATTTGAAGTTATAGCCGGAAAAATATACACAATGTCCCTACTAAGACAAATAATTACAAGTGATGGTAAGGCAACGTTTGTGTTATCACTTTTTGCTCAAATGAATAACACTGTTATTATCCAGGTCCTTATCCATCGCTGCTGCAGCGAACACTATCAGAGATATCCAACAAAATGTTAATCTTTATGTTGTAGCTTGTTTGAACACATTTCCTCAAAATAATTCATAAGCAGCCACGCACACACAGCCACAAGCACACACAGTCACAAGCACACACAGTCACAAGCACACACAGTCACACACACACAAGCACACACAGCCACAAGCACACAGTCACACGCACACACACAGCCACGCTTCAGGGGCCCAGGTTGAAGGAACTGGAGTCTTCCTCTGGCAGAGATTTTCCTTTGAAACATAATAGAAGAGACATCAGTTTTATCTACTCAAATATGACTTTGATATATTCATCATCAACAACATCAGTATTTATTGGTCACCAGGAGTGGCCCCTGATCCACAGGATCCTTGAACATGTTTATTTGGACTGTGAGAGACTGTGCATTGTGAGAGAAAGACACTTACATCGGCTGTTTTGGGAGTCGAGTGATTATCTCACTCCTCTTGATTGTTGAAGAAACTCAGCGACAGTTTTGTCAACACTGACTCCTGGAACATGATCGATATTCATTTTGGACCTCAGGGCAGCAACACAACTGTAGGGATGAACGACACACACATCACAACATCATTATCATAATCACTGCGTCCCATATATGCATTCACAACAACCTACATGACAAATGTGGGGTGTAAAGTCTTCCTCAGGAGATGACAATGGCCATTCTTCTAATTATGGAAGCAAAGTCTTGTCTTCCCAGTCAATACTAGAGAAAGAAGAGGTCAGCAGAAAAGTATCTAGTCGTTATGGCATTGTTTTTTTTTTAATAGTTATTTAACTTGCATTATGGAGGCTTTTGAACTCTTGTACATTGAAGACCTCATTCCAATTGATTTAGGCCATACTGGAAAAGATACAGAGAAAAGAATGCAATGAAGACATGTAAATTATTACAATGTCTATATTATATCATGCTCATAATTTATTTGGTAGTAGTCAGCAAGACTTTTCTTACTTATTCTCAATACATAATAAAAATGTATGTAGTGGTCACGGAAGTTAGATTTTAGGTAAAGAGATTTTATAACAATAAAACTAATATACAGAGTGCAAGTTGCAAAACTAGTCATTGAAGAATGAAATGCAGACCTACATATATATATATATATAGTGCAAGCAACTATGTTTATTGGCAAAAACAAACGATTCATACAGATCAGAAGTGATCGTAGCAGCCACATCATATTCACAACTACAGACAGCTAATGCTAACAGCTAACGCTAATGCTAACAGCGAACGCTAATGCTAACAGCGAACGCTAATGCCAACACCACTTCACGGGGGAACTCTGGTGATATGGTCTTACCAAATGGTACTCATTTAATGTTGTACATGTGGGGAACTAATAATTGACCGGAGTTTATGGATGGCTGAGGCTGGGCTAAGGCTTCGATGTTGTGTTGTCTGTTGTTGTTTCTCAAAGCTAAGCCAAGGTAATGCGCAGTTATTGCCACAAAATGCGGCCGTATTTCTACAACAGCTGGGGATTTTTAACTAGCTAAACTTGGTGAAAACCCGCATTACAGTCTCAGGCAACAATATGTATAAATAATACAACTACTACTGCCACTACTGAGTAACATGCTCACCTGTTCAGTCGGAGAGAGGAATCCACGGAGCTAGAGGTCGCCAACATGAATGCAGCTGGTCACCATGTTGCTCCTACTTTTTGTCGTTCCTCTGTTTCTGGCGTTTTGCCTGTATTTAATAGATCCATGCCATGGTATTTAGTCTGCAGCAGCGCTGGAGGCGGCTTTTCCTTCTCCGCCATGTTTGTTTTGAAGAGTGCGCGTGCACACACGGGAGAAACCCCTTATAAGGCGTGCTCTCTCGTCATTGGATAAGCGCATAGGATGTGAGGTTTTTTTATCATATAGGTGGGAGAAGACTGGAAGGACTGAGAGATCCGTGTTTAGGTACAAACACTCTATATAAGTGATGGCTATTGGAATATATCAATATTTAAGACGTATATTAACACCCAAAAATCGCTTACTGCTGCTTTAAAGTATGAAGCAAATGTCAAAGGAATATTAAATACAAATTACATACAAATTATCACAAGAACACCTTAAAATTTCCCAGATAGGAAGAAATCATTACAATGAGTCCAAATATATACGTTCCAGTATTGTGCAAATAAGCAAAGTGTTGTGCAAATAGGCCGTAATTGTGCAAAATGCAAAGTTTTTGTTATAATCCCAACGACTGAGAAAGGCTGTCCCTATTAGTCTTTGAAATATTGGAAAAACGCGAAGGGGTTCATATGATGATGTGATCTTCCTGAGAGCAGGCGCTTTGGAGTCATTTAATGCCTTCCCGCATCCATTCACGGATGTATCACTCCCACGCCGCGAGAGATCAAAAGTTTTGTACTCACAATGTCAGCGGATCCATAAGCTTCACACAGTCCCGTCCTGCCTCCGTCTTAACTTTACCGGGGTTCGCCGCGAGAACAGCTCGGAGCGATCTGACAGTTCACGGCTCACGTAGCAGCTCCACACAGTCACCTCGGCACCAGCAGCTCCACACCGTCAACGCACGAGTAGAAGCCGGCTCCGTAGTCAGCGAGGACGACCATGCATCAATCCGTAAGGAAAAGCTCTTACTGTAGCGCATTTAGCGGAATGAATGCTCGTACTGATGCATGTGCCATATTTTCCTTTAATTTCCTTCGCACAAGATCACCGTAAGAGCTAAAACCATGAATACATCAAATCAGTAAGGCATACAAAAATCATTAAAAAATCTCATTTAAATACACACCTTTTATCCCCCTTTCAGCTATGCGCTAAACAGACAGTTCAGACAGGACCATCCCGAGTCCACACACCATGTCAACCTTTAGTACAATACGGAAGCACCCAAGTTGCCCCGACATTTCAAAATAAAACCAAAAAGGGGCGTTCCCTACAACTACTGTACATATTAGCAACATTAGGGTGCAATACTACTGTACAAATTAGCAACATTAGGGTGCAATACTACTGTACATATTAGCAACATTAGGGTGCAATACTACTGTACATATTAGCAACATTAGGGTGCAATACTACTGTACATATTAGCAACATTAGGGTGCAATACTACTGTACATATTAGCAACATTAGGGTGCAATACTACTGTAGATGTTAGCAGCATGAGGCTTTGGTCCAAGAGTGACAGTGGACACATGTGGACCCATATTGCATCTCTTAACATGATTACTAACAAACCACCAGTGGACTCTGCAACTGTACGAAGAAGACACATAAATGAAAATACGGGTGAACTATTATGGGAATGATAAACTTTGAGAATGCATCGTATTCTACTGTAGATGAACTGTTTAACTCTGTCACCTCTAGTGTTTTGAAAGTTCTGGACACTATCGCTCCTGTGAAGGTTAAAATAGTGAAAAATAAGCAGAAGGCGCCGTGGGCTAAAGCAGACTCGGTCAGGGCACAAAAGAGAAAGTGCCGGAGGGCCGAGCGGAAGTGGCGCAAGTCCAACCTCCAGGTTGATTACGAGATCTTCAAAGATAAGTTGTGCGAGTTTAACCGGGTGCTACGTAGTACGAGAGAAAGGTATTTTTCTGAAATGATTGAAGGCTGCAGCAACAATCTGCGTGTTCTGTTCTCAACAGTTAATAGATTAACAAACCCCCCTGTTCAGATGCCATTAGAGCTTACTTCCAAACGTAAATCTAATGAGTTTGCACATTTTTTCAATGACAAGGTTCAAGGCATCAAAAACTCCATTGTCTCCAATCCACAGATAACAATCCAACAGCCAGAAAGGCTCTCTGAGCTAACTCACTTTGCACCTGTAAATGATAAAACTGTCCAAGAGATAATCTCCAGTTTGAGCTCCTCCACATGCAGCCTAGATGTACTACCCACTAGATTTCTAAAGTCTGTTCTGAGCAGTCTGTTACCTTCACTCACACAGATAGTAAACATGTCCCTTCATTCTGGAATATTCCCAAAGGCCCTGAAAACTGCAGTCATCAGGCCCCTGCTAAAAAAGAGCAGTCTGGATGCTACGGTACTTAACAACTATCGTCCCATCTCAAATCTGCCATTTATGGGGAAAGTCCTTGAAAAAGTTGTCTACCAACAGCTAAATAGATTTCTTATAATCAACAACTCATTTGATATGTTTCAGTCCGGCTTTAGACCCCACCACAGCACTGAGACTGCTCTCGTCAAGGTTACAAATGATATCCGGCTGAACACTGACGCAGGCAAAGTCTCAATCCTAATCTTGTTAGATCTAAGTGCTGCCTTTGACACCGTCGACCATGAGATCCTCTTACAGAGACTAGAGGACTGGGTTGGCGTCGCTGGCACCGCCCTAAGTTGGTTTAGGTCTTACCTTGAGGACAGGAAGTACTTTGTGGAGATTGGAAACTGTGTCTCAGATCATATGGCCCTGACCTGTGGAGTACCACAGGGGTCGATCCTGGGACCTCTTCTGTTCAATCTCTACATGCTGCCGTTAGGTCAGTTAATACGCAGAAACAAAGTTTCCTATCATAACTATGCAGACGACACTCAGATCTATGTCTCAGTGACTGCAGGAGAACATGGACCAGTGGACTCACTCCTTCACTGTATCCAACAGATCAGTGAGTGGATGCAAAACAACTTCCTTCAGCTAAACGCAGACAAAACTGAAATGATTGTCTTTGGTCCCCAGAAACAAAGAGAGAGCGTCATCTGTCACCTACAGTCTCTCTCCCTAAAACCTTCAAACAAGGTCAGAAATCTAGGGGTAAAACTGGACTCAGACTTAAATTTTAATAGCCACATCAAATCAGCAGCTTTTTACCATCTAAAAAACATTGCCAGGATCAAAAACATAGTGTCTAAAGCAGACCTGGAGATTCTTATCCATGCATTTGTCTCCAGTAGGTTAGACTACTGCAATGGCCTGCTCACAGGTCTGTCCAAACAGGCTGTAAAACAGCTGCAGTACATTCAAAATGCAGCAGCTCGAGTCCTGACTAGAACCAGGAAGTATGACCACATTAGTCCAGTTCTCAGGTCTCTGCACTGGCTTCCTATGGCTCAGAGAATAGACTTTAAAACAGCTCTGCTTGTTACAAGTCTCTCCATGGCCTCGCACCAAAATATATTAGTGACATGTTAGTCCCATATGAACCAGCCCGGACTCTGAGGAGCACAGGGACTGGACTCCTGTTAGTGCCCAGAGTCAGAACTAAACATGGGGAGGCTGCTTTTCAGATTCATGCTGCTAAAATCTGGAACAGTCTTCCTGAAGATGTGAGACAGGCCTCCTCTCTGACAATGTTTAAAACCAGGTCAAAGACAGTTCTGTTTAGCTGTGCATACAACTGAGGGATTTTATATTTGTATCTTTCTTTTTAATGTTCTGTGATTATTTATGATTTTAATGCTTTCTTGTTTTGTTCAGCACTTTGAGTTGCCTTGTGTATGACTTGTGCTATACAAATAAACTTGCCTTGCCTTGCCTTGCCTTGCCTTGCCTTGCCTTGCCTTGCCATTACAAATGATTGCACAGATGCTTGACATGTGGGGTCAGGTCGACAGTGTTCCTCAACAATGGCCTGAATATTTGCACTAATTTCCCTTCTTCTGTATCTGCATCTGGATTGGTTGACATCCATTCAACGACATGAAAAGATACAATTGGAGGCGTGTGTGTGAATGGTTTTCTTGCGGGCGCTCCTCACCACAGTGACCTACATCCTGGACTCATGGGACAGTGGAACCATCAGGGACATGATCAGGGAGGACTCCGAGGATAACGAGGCCTGCTGCTGCCCCCAAACTACTACCTCTCTGAAACACACTGCTGTCACTCTGCAAAAACCATGCTCAATGCTTCTCTCACTATACATTTTAAAATTGTATTATACGCTTTGGCCACCAGAGAGCACTCACATGAGCTCTCAATGTTTCCCCAAAAGAACAGTGTTAGTTGTGTGTCAGTATATAAAGTTGAACCATCATAAGACTGGAATTATACTGAGAAAAGAGAAAAGGATTCTGTAGTGTGACCTGGCAGTTTACCCGACTGCTTTACGTTAATTGTTCAAAAATATGTAAATGGAAACGCATGAAGATTACTGTACAATGCAAAAGCAAAACAACAAAATAATATTACATTGTTAGTGGCATCTTTCTAAAAAGTAGCTGATGTCAATAATACTATATAATATAGTATTAGTATAATATATTCTAGATCACGCTCATATCTAGTAGGGTTAGGGTCATAACTCAGTAGGGTTAGGGTCATAACTCAGTAGGATTAGGGTCATAACTCAGTAGGGTTAGGGTCATAACTCAGTAGGATTAGGGTCATAACTCAGTAGGGTTAGGGTCATAACTCAGTAGGGTTAGGGTCATAACTCAGTAGGGTTAGGGTTTGAAAATACTAATCGATAATTTCAAACACAATAACTACTCGAACTCCCAGAGCCGTTGATATTAGAAAAAAACAATGGAATTCTGAGAAATTCCCCAAATAATGTTTAGTTTTACCACAAGATTCATGAAAAGAAAGTGATTTATAAGGATTTTCACCTTTATTCAGTTTTGATAAGTGCTACAACTGGTCATTTTAACTGAAACACAGCAAAAGTTAGACTAACGCTATCTTCTGACTTCGTGTTGCTATGGAAACTAGCACTTGATATAAAATTAGTTAAAGGTAGAATTACTCTCATTAATAAAAGACAAGTTCCTAAATAATAATGACATTGAAATAAGCTACGCATAGAAACAGAAAGAGCCGTCAAATTGACTGCTCTGGGACTTCTGTGGCCTGTTTTGATTGCGGGAATCCCATGTGGCGGCTGCGGTCACCGACACGCACAGCGGCCGCAGGGTGTGGACGCGTCGCTGTTATTAGTTCGTTGTTATTTAGACCGGTTTCATAACTCGTTATTTGTTCATTTATTGTCTAATGAAACCGTGCTATTACTGTTTCGCCCTGATTCTGCTGATCCCAAAGTAGACGTTCCAAAGACAGGAGTGAACATAGGAATTCTACAAATGTGTGCATAAATGTATGGTCATTTATAAGCTTGTAATATACAGAGTGGATAAAAGTACTATTTGTGCATATAATAATACAGTTAAATATCCTAATACTTTTCTCACACTTTCGTACACCTTCCAGAGAGCAATTAATCCTAAAAGCTCAGTCCATAACCCATATATCATGTAATACTGCAATTATTCACTCTTATAGATAAAAAAAACAATGGATAATCTTTTCCTATGCATTAAACAATTAACTACAGACTTAATAATTAGAATAAGGGTTATGAGTTTTACCTAAAAGTAGCAGCTTTATCACATTTTTCCTCTTATCTTCACGAATTTGTTTTTCAATTTCCAAACTGATCCGCCGTCGCTCGCTCTCCTCCGCGGATAAGCAACAATTCATGTCCGCTCCAGAGATGGATCAGGTCCGGAACCACAGACTGCAAATATGCGGACAGAGTTTATGGCTCCACTGCACACGCACTGACAGGAACCTGCTCCCTCTCTCTCTCTCTCTCTGACTTTCTCTCTCTCTCTCTTTCTTTCTCCAACTTTGTGTGTTTGTGTGTGTGTGTGTGTGTGTGTGTGTGTGTGTGCGTGCGTGTGTGTGTGTGCGTGTGTGTGTGTGTGTGTGTGTGTGTGTATCCCTCTCTCTCTCCTCTATCTCTGTGTATGTGTCTCCCCCTCTTTCTCTCACTGTCTCTTTCTCCCTCTACTGCCTCTCTCTCTCTGCCCCTCTCTCTCTCCCTCACACTGTGTCTCAATGTCTCTCTCTCTCTCTTACACACACCCACTGTCTGTGTCTACCTCTCCACTCACTTCTCTCTCTCTCATGTGTCTCTGTGTTGTCCTCTTTCTCCCTCTCACACTGTCTCTCACACTCTCTCTCTCTCGTTCAACCCCCCTCTCTCTCACTGTCTTTTTCTCTCTCTCTGACTCACTCTTTCTCACTGTCTCCTTCTTTCTCTCATTTCTCCCTCCCTCTTTCACTCTCTCTCTTCTCTATCTCTCTCTCTCACTGTCTTTTTCTCTTTCTCTCTCTCTGACTCTCTCTTTTTCACTGTCTCCCTCTTTCTCTCATGTCTCCCTCCCTCTTTCGCTCTCTCTCTTCTCTCTCTCCCTCTCCCCCACTCTCTCTCTCTCTCTCTCACTGTCTTTTTCTCTCTCTCTGACTCACTCTTTCTCACTGTCTCCTTCTTTCTCTCATTTCTCCCTCCCTCTTTCACTCTCTCTCTCTCTCTCTCTCACTGTCTTTTTTCTCTCTCTCTCTGACTCACTCTTTCTCACTGTCTCCTTCTTTCTCTCATTTCTCCCTCCCTCTTTCACTCTCTCTCTTCTCTATCTCTCTCTCTCTCACTGTCTTTTTCTCTCTCTCTCTCTCTCTGACTCTCTCTTTCTCACTCTCTCCCTCTTTCTCTCATGTCTCCCTCCCTCTTTCGCTCTCTCTCTTCTCTCTCTCCCTCTCCCCCACTCTCTCTCTCTCTCACTGTCTTTTTCTCTCTCTCTCTCTCTGACTCTCTCTTTTTCACTGTCTCCTTCTTTCTCTCATGTCTCCCTCCCTCTTTCGCTCTCTCTCTCTCTCTCTCCCTCTCCCCCACTCTCTCTCTCTCTCACTGTCTTTTTCTCTCTCTCTCTCTGACTCTCTCTTTCTCACTCTCTCCCACTTTCTCTCATGTCTCCCTCCCTCTTTCGCTCTCTCTCTTCTCTCTCTCCCTCTCCCCCACTCTCTCTCTCTCTCACTGTCTTTTTCTCTCTCTCTCTCTCTGACTCTCTCTTTTTCACTGTCTCCTTCTTTCTCTCATGTCTCCCTCCCTCTTTCACTCTCTCTCCCTCCCTCTCCCCCACTCTCTCTCTCTCTCACTGTCTTTTTCTCTCTCTCTCTCTGACTCTCTCTTTTTCACTGTCTCCTTCTTTCTCTCATTTCTCCCTCCCTCTTTCACTCTCTCTCTCTCTCTCCCTCTCCCCACTCTCTCTCTCTCTCACTGTCTTTTTCTCTCTCTCTCTCTGACTCTCTCTTTCTCACTCTCTCCCACTTTCTCTCATGTCTCCCTCCCTCTTTCGCTCTCTCTCTTCTCTCTCTCCCTCTCCCCCACTCTCTCTCTCTCTCACTGTCTTTTTCTCTCTCTCTCTCTCTGACTCTCTCTTTTTCACTATCTCCTTCTTTCTCTCATGTCTCCCTCCCTCTTTCACTCTCTCTCCCTCTCCCCCACTCTCTCTCTCTCTCACTGTCTTTTTCTCTCTCTCTCTCTGACTCTCTCTTTTTCACTGTCTCCTTCTTTCTCTCATTTCTCCCTCCCTCTTTCACTCTCTCTCTCTCTCTCTCTCCCTCTCCCCCACTCTCTCTCTCTCTCACTGTCTTTTTCTCTCTCTCTCTCTGACTCTCTCTTTCTCACTGTCTCCCTCTTTCTCTCATGTCTCCCTCCCTCTTTCACTCTCTCTCTTCTCTCTCTCCCTCTCCCCCACTCTCTCTCTCTCTCTCTCACTGTCTTTTTCTCTCTCTCTCTCTGACTCTCTCTTTTTCACTGTCTCCCTCTTTCTCTCATGTCTCCCTCCCTCTTTCGCTCTCTCTCTTCTCTCTCTCCCTCTCCCCCACTCTCTCTCTCTCTCTCTCACTGTCTTTTTCTCTCTCTCTCTCTCTGACTCTCTCTTTTTCACTGTCTCCTTCTTTCTCTCATGTCTCCCTCCCTCTTTCACTCTCTCTCTCTCTCTCCCTCTCCCCCACTCTCTCTCTCTCTCACTGTCTTTTTCTCTCTCTCTCTCTGACTCTCTCTTTCTCACTCTCTCCCACTTTCTCTCATGTCTCCCTCCCTCTTTCGCTCTCTCTCTTCTCTCTCTCCCTCTCCCCCACTCTCTCTCTCTCTCACTGTCTTTTTCTCTCTCTCTCTCTCTGACTCTCTCTTTTTCACTATCTCCTTCTTTCTCTCATGTCTCCCTCCCTCTTTCACTCTCTCTCCCTCTCCCCCACTCTCTCTCTCTCTCACTGTCTTTTTCTCTCTCTCTCTCTGACTCTCTCTTTTTCACTGTCTCCTTCTTTCTCTCATTTCTCCCTCCCTCTTTCACTCTCTCTCTCTCTCTCTCCCTCTCCCCCACTCTCTCTCTCTCTCACTGTCTTTTTCTCTCTCTCTCTCTGACTCTCTCTTTCTCACTGTCTCCCTCTTTCTCTCATGTCTCCCTCCCTCTTTCACTCTCTCTCTTCTCTCTCTCCCTCTCCCCCACTCTCTCTCTCTCTCTCTCACTGTCTTTTTCTCTCTCTCTCTCTGACTCTCTCTTTTTCACTGTCTCCCTCTTTCTCTCATGTCTCCCTCCCTCTTTCGCTCTCTCTCTTCTCTCTCTCCCTCTCCCCCACTCTCTCTCTCTCTCTCTCACTGTCTTTTTCTCTCTCTCTCTCTCTGACTCTCTCTTTTTCACTGTCTCCTTCTTTCTCTCATGTCTCCCTCCCTCTTTCACTCTCTCTCTCTCCCTCTCCCCCACTCTCTCTCTCTCACTGTCTTTTTCTCTCTCTCTCTCTCTGACTCTCTCTTTCTCACTCTCTCCCACTTTCTCTCATGTCTCCCTCCCTCTTTCGCTCTCTCTCTTCTCTCTCTCCCTCTCCCCCACTCTCTCTCTCTCTCTCTCACTGTCTTTTTCTCTCTCTCTCTCTGACTCTCTCTTTTTCACTGTCTCCTTCTTTCTCTCATTTCTCCCTCCCTCTTTCACTCTCTCTCTTCTCTATCTCTCTCTCTCACTGTCTTTTTCTCTCTCTCTCTCTCTGACTCTCTCTTTCTCACTCTCTCCCTCTTTCTCTCATGTCTCCCTCCCTCTTTCGC